CCCCCCCATTCCTGTAGGTATATAAACCAAGAAGAACATTCCTTACAGTGCCAGGTAATTGAGCTTTATATAAATCTAAATGTGTCGTACCTGACTCGATTTTCCCATCACCACGAAAGTACGCAATAATTTTGGATAATTAAGTCAACGTTAATGTTTAAATCGCCGCAAATGCTTGAAGTAATATATAAGCTCAACGCAAAACGCAAAAACAGGGAACTCCCTCAAAATGTTGGATCATTATTTCTATTTGTACCTCTGAAGTCAGCTCAATTTTAAAAAGGAAAAAATATCCCCTTAAAGTTGGAGTCAAACTTCCTAATTGTAAATTACCTTTGATGGAAATAAGATTGAGGTTGAGAAAACTGGGGAAAGGATTAACTCCCCTTGACTTAGGGTCTACTGTTCTTGTTCTTCAGAATTTTCCATTTATGGACGTACCAGTGTCCGCCAGGTACAGACTTCGGTCAAAATCTAGCGCTGTGAGATTGGGGATGTTTTGTTTGTTATGCCTACACAAACCCCTAGCTACTTGATCGCTTATTTAAACACGAGAAATACCTTATATTGGACAGACACTCTAATTAAAGGCAAAAATGCAACCCATAAAAATACAATTTTATTTCTATGTTTATTTTTCATGCAGAGGTTTCAAAAGAAGTTATTTCATGTATGTGTAGTTTCCTTTGCACTTTGTACAAACATTGCTTGAATGCGTACAGAGGGTGGTATGTTTGTATGATCGCAGGAGGTACAGCCCAGTTATGTATTGTATAACACCATACGTATTAACCATGACTTTTCGAAATTCAAGGCTTGTGACGTAAATAGATAATATTGACACACGAGAAAATGAAATTAGCCCTGTCTGTGTAAACTTCAATTGGCGATCAATACAAGCATGCGCTTGTTTTTGTTGTAAAACGGTTTCAGTTCGAGTTCCATTCCAGATAAACTTTTGGATGTGCTACTGCCAAATATTACTGCAACGAATTCTCAAAATTTATCAGAGGGTCAGTGTCATATGTTTGTGACTAGAATATTGGCAGTGAGATTAATCAGATGTTTGTGGACACTTGAAGGTATATTTTAGAAATGGAGCGGAAACATTTAAGTCAAAGTTCTGAGGTAAAATCCCCAAAATAAAATCTGCGTAGCTCATGAGAAAGAGAAAAGAAGGGAAGAGGAAAAAATAAAATTGAAATTGGACTTGGTCGATCGTCGGAGATCAGGTAGCTCAATTGGCAATCGTAACCGTCGGCACTTTCCGTAAAGGAGAATTTTCTCGTTTACGGAAAGTGCCGACGGTTACCGATTGGCTCAATTGGTAGAGCGTCTGTCTAAAGATTGGAGGGTCGCGAGTTTAAATCACGGTCTGCGCGCGCATTCCTCTTTCTCCCAAATTACAAATATATGCAATTGCTCGATGTCATTATCAAAATTTACCCGTTGCGTGTGTTTATTTTTATACGGATTTCTTTTATTCGTGATTATTAGTATGTCTCAATATCAAATTAAGCAAACAATACAAAGTAAAAAATACAAATGTAGATAAAAAAAAATAGACGGTCAAGCATCCTTAATCGAAAGAGTTGGAACTCTTTTGTTATTGGAGTTAAAGAAGTAAATATAGTATTTGTTGTAGATGTTTTAGAGTATCCCTTTAAAGTCATACAACACTATAACTAGAGTGTTTTGATCAAGTGACATGAGAAATACATGTGGTAAGAAGGATCATGGGCACTTGTGGTTGTTTTGGGCGTGAGGCCCCCGGCAATGACATCACAAGGAAGCAACACATGTAGTTCGGCCACATCACTCGCCGTTTCAGCAGCTTTAAGGTTACTGTAGGCATGAGTTCCACGTCGCCAACATAGGGCAGTAGGTACTCACCGGCCAAAGGTCAACAGAGGACACATACTTCATGTCCCTCAACCGACCCTACTCCATACTCTTTGAAGTATACATTAGAAATGTCATCCCTTCCCCGTTTTCTGTTGTAAACTAAAGCATATGCAAGAATATTGTTTTTTTATAATCAAGGTGTCTATTACCATCTACTGTAGACTACGTGATATTTCTCCATCTGGTACGTTTCATATTTTGAGATCGTATCTGCTGACAAAATTAGTTTGTATGTTGCTCATCCATTATGGCATGAAATGGAGAATACAAATATTTTGTTTTGATAAAGGCTTTAAGACTGATGTACACAATGCAATATTAATGAAACAAAAAACTTTTATTTCATGATTATCCCAAGTTATTAGAAAGAGAACTGACATATTCAGTGAGGTTTCAGGGGTGCCAGAAACACCTCTTTCTGTCAGATTTTTGCATGTCTTTAAGCTTATTAATTACTGCAAATGTAAATTGGGTACACTAGCTGTGTCCCCATTGTGTCCCCATTACCTACCAAAAATTAGAGGCTAGATCTCACAAGACAGACGTCATGTATCGTATATTGAATCTAGTGATTTTTTTTTTGTCACATGCACATAGTTTACTGAATTCAATGTTTTTGTATATGTTCTAAAGCCATCACATCTATGTATTATACATTTTCCCTGTTTTACACAAGTTCAATTTTAATATCAAAAAGCATTTTCAGTTGGGACCTAGGTGATTAATTGATTGTGCGTTTATCAACTGATATAGCTTTAGAGATTTGTGTATATTTAAGATAAATCCGTTTAGGATTGTTTGATGGTGATCACCGACGAGAAAACTATTTTAACCAAGTGCTTGGTCAATCTTTGATAAACAAATTGATTACAATTTATAGAAGCTTTGATTATATTTCACAGTTGGTGGACTCTATTCTTAACATTTGTAATATTTTAAAAATAATTACATGGATTAGCAAAAAAGGATTGGGGAGTTAAATACAATTCTTATTTCTATTGCAAAATAAGTATTTATTTAATGTGTACAAATAGCTCAATAATATTGAGAGTGCCTGCAAGAGGTCATATCAAAGATATTTATTTTAAGGATTATCATTGATCTCATCAATCAACGCTCCCTCAACATATCCGTTTTATATTTCAAAATAATACAAATATAGAATCAATTTTGCCCAGTCGTGTTTGTAATGATTATAAATGTGAATAGAAGTTGTTAATCCTCCTGTATGGGTTTTTCTACTTGATTTTAAAGTGTTGCATCTTCAAGATTTATTATCGTTTGATAGGTACCTTTACATTTCATTTCATTTCAGTCTTTTTGATTTAAATACAACACTGAAAGAATAATTTAGAAAAAACCTGCAGATCTTCTTTGAAATAAAGAAGTGTACCAATCTATTCCAACTAATATTTCAGCCTATAATATTAATATGAAAATAAAATGAAAGGCACAAGATCTATTGCTCAATAAACCCAGAAAGATGATGAAATGTTTGATAAAACAAGACTGTTTTTTAATTGCTATGTTCCTTTAATACTCATCAGTACATTTGCATATTTCTAAATTCAAAGGCATTTTGCAAATGTGCACTTGTATGGTAGCTTGGTACATGTACTATAAATAACCTCAGAATTACCATAAGGATCTTGTAATAAGTCATTGAACATCGACGATAACCTGATGACAGATTGAACCATAACACTGCAAAAATGAAAAGAAAAGCTACGTAAATACATGTATCTCTTTAAATTAGCATGTTAACTGACTGATTATTTCTTAGGGGTTGATGTATTACACACTGATATAGCTCATGCTGTGCCTTTCAAGAAACATGAATATTTGTAATATTTTTGTAAAACAGTCCAATGAGCAGTGATACCTGGATAATATAACTAGAAAATTAAAATTAAAAAAATATAAAACAAAAATGAGAAACCAAGCTTCACTATCAGAAACATAAGTTTATGTATGAGGAAAAAAAATCAAGCTTTAGAAAATAAAAAGCTTTTGATCAGAAGTTTGCAATTTCAGACTTAACCCAAGTTCCATAACTTTCTAAATGTTGATACATGTATATATGCTATTTATCCTGGGTGTTTGCTTCTTATGTATATATATATGCATTACTTATGTTGGGTATATTTTTCTTAATGTTGGGTATATATGTTACTTTTGTTAAGTAAATATTACATAAAAAAATAAGTATATGTGTTCATCATTTTTTGTTTAATGTTACTTAATTCTGTTGTGTTACATACGTTGCATTGGGATTTCTTTGTTAGGGTACCTATGTTGAGTATGTCCTACCAAATGTTGGGTATACATCAGTATATAACATATTCGTATGTTATTTATTATAAAAAGTAAATGTTAGGTATATCAAATTATAAAGTTTCATTTTTTGTTTTTTTGTTTTTTGTACATTTTAAACCAAGCATGGTCCCATAATATTCAATGTAAATGTAATTTTCATACTAGCAATACCTGGTACATTATGTATATGCAAAGATAATTGGGATCACTGCTTTAGTTAAATTATTAAAAATCTAAAGTATGAAGATCAAAAGTGTCTGACAAATTTCCTTGTTGATTTTCTTGGTGATGGAAGGTTTTTATACTCAAGTGTAACTTTTTCTCTTAATCTTTTCAGTAACAATAAATGGAACACGACCTGGATATACAGTATTTCTCGGATTCATGATGGAGTCAATATCAGCGAGAAATGATAGCATCAATCTTGGATCATTTTCGGTGAGTGGAGACATAATGCATATATCATAATTATAAAGATGTTAAGGTGTTTGACAGTTGCTTTGATTGATGTTAAAAAACATGTTTAACACACACTTGCTGTATATAGACTTGTTTCACTTACCAAACCTGAACTAACCAAACCAATTATAATTTCTGGACAACTGTTAAAGTGCAATGATGTATTGATATGATTTTTTCATATTTATCTTGCAACATTATCAGTTCTATGCTAAAATAGGACTTTTAACTGTGGTATATTATCTTGTGTGATTTTGTTAGAAAGTGTTTAAGGGAACACCGTAAGTGTATGTAAAAGCACATAATGTTCAGGCAATCAGGTATTTCATAATATGTCAGTATGTTAGGATGTGACTTAAATAGAAACTCTTTCCCAATGACATATCATTGCTTTTCAGGTAGCTTTAAAAGTCTTTTCATGCCATGTATTTTACCCTGTAATGTTCTGCTATCAAACTAATTTCTACATAAAAGTCTAATAAAGATGATTAACTTGACATTTAACTTCCATTCTTCCATGCACATATATTAATACATCTGTAAAGGGAGAATTTGAGACTTGAGTGAAATTCTTTACATCCATCAAATGTCTAAAATTGAGTTGGTAGATTTGTGAGGTTGGGTGCGTAAGTGCCACCCAGGAGGCTGATAAGAAATCAAACTGTATTGGGTGGAAAAGTAAGATGAAAAGCTTTCTAAAGTTAAAAACATATTTTACACATTTTATGATCTGTGATGTAAAAAAAATCAAGAGTGATAAGTGTATACAAGTTTTCATCAAGGTTACATTTTTAAAGTGAAAAAATAAGGAAAAATTATGATTTTTCATGATATTTTCATCACACTTACTCCACATTTACCAACCATGCTTGCAAATCTAGCTAATCACTGGCTGTGTTTGAACTAGTTGTGTCCCCTGCTGGGTAAGGGCAGACCACTGGTGATGGAATGGCTCCAGCCTATCTTTGGTTATTTCATGCCTCATTGACTCTAGCTTACATGCCCCATTACTTGTCTGAGGGCCGACAAAGTGGCCTCTCAAAAATGTTGACCAATAGGAGGAGACCCATAGATCTTAAGTTGTAGGTGGTCAGCTGGACTGAATGTTGATGTTAAAAAGTCTCTTTGTGTTTATTATACACTTGATTACTTATTGTAATTTAATTACAGGTATTCATATACTCTTCAGTATAAACCATACTTAATATACATGGCTAAAACTGTTTCATATTCATGAAAGTATTCATGATCATTCAATTATAAATTTCAAACTTTCAATGTTTCCACTTTTCAAAGATAATACAGTATGAAATGATGGGTTTGGATTTAAACATTGATCATGCTGATTCAGAAGGAAACTGCTGGCGATTAAAAGGGTACATTAATTGTGTACAAAATTGTTCCAGAAATTGAGGGACTTGTCATTAAGGGGCAGGTGCTTGAGAAGCAGGATATAAACTTTTGCCATATTTAAATCAGATAATTATTATGTCTCTACTGGGAGTGTTAAGTTTGACAGCTGATGTAACTCAAGTTCCTTATCGCTCCTATTTGATACCTGATAACAGTATGATTTATGTGTGAGGGTAGAGCTCCATACCATTTTTTAAATCTCAAGTGATTTATCAGTTATGATGGAAAACCCTCCTTCACACCTCTGTCAAATTGTGGTATATCAAATTATTGTAGATAAGGGTTATTTAACTCCAGAGCATAAAATGGAAAAGAAAGTAAATTTATTAAAGTATGAGGTTATACTATTGGAGTTAATGTGCTTAACTAATCTTGATTTTCTGAAGTATGTCAGTTTTATGTTCTACTCCAAATTTTCCTATTTTCCAACTGAAAACAGTAACACAGAGATGACAAGGGATATTTATAATGTAAAACTCATTTGAAATCTTTCAAGGCCATTCAAGATCGTGCTATTCTTCATCTAAAGAAAATATTTACAAAGAAAATACATTGCTTTAGAACCATGAATAGATCATCGAGGGATAACAGACTAAGCATGCTATGGCCTCCTCTCCTTCCCCTCAAATTGGAATCTTGTCCAGATAAACCAAAGTTTTCATCTGAATTTCGTGAAATTCCACAGATAGTCAACACAATCTGAAGTTGTGGACCCAAGCTTACTTTTTTATTCGGATAGTTTTATGTCCTTTCACAAAATTGTAACCGAATATTGTTTACATCAGTCCTCTTTCAACTTTCATCCAAATTTTACGAAACCTCACAGATAGATCGAGTCACATCATTTCTTATCCAGCTATTTTCATGGGAGTTATGCTCCTTCTTCAAAATTCTGAGTCAAATTTTGTATACAGTTTAATTCTAAATATCTCGAAAACTAAACACAGTTGTAATCACCACACTTGGAAGTTGTACATCTATCAGGACTATGGTAAACTTTTAACCTTTTTTTATTGGAAGTTATGCCCCTTTTCTGTTTTCCATTTATAAATTTTGTTTGAAGTACTGCTCCTTGTATGCAACTTTTATATTGATATGTATATGAAACTTGGTATGCATGATTGGTATCTTACATATATGTAGATAGTTGCGCATTTGTGATTTATACTTTTCTACATTACACTTGCATAGGTCAGGTAGATTTTGAACCATCATTATAACGAGCTTAACTGTAAAATTGATAGCAGTACATGTAAAGCTACCTATAAGATAACAGGTATACAGCATACAGTGCTGTGGAGTTTCTAGTGTTTGGTATTTTTTTAGTCCCTATTTATCATTGGTCTTCAGCAACACAGACATGCTGGATTTAATTAAACATTGTGATATTTATTTACAAGACTGAGTAGTTGATGGGTGTATAGGTCACACAGATGATTATGTAACTGGTATACTGGTAGTGTTGGGGATATAAAACAGCATTTCACCCTCAATCACAGCTATAGCAACTGATTGCCTTACCTGTAATAAACTTGTGTGAATTTTGTTCATATCCTTTGGTGGAAGTTTTGTTGTATCCAGAAGACTTTGTGTAGGTGTGAGAATGATCAGTGGTATATATTAGGTAAATTGCTGATTTCCTGTTTTGTTGATTCATAAGGATTTGGTTGTTTTCAGGTATAACATAGAAACAGTCGTTAGTGCTAAACAGTTTTTATATAACAGAATATTCTGAATATTTTTTTTTGCTTTGGATTAGGTTTTGTCTAGTTAAATGGAATTGATTTAATACACAAAATAAGCTACGAAGGCACTAGAGCTTAACAAGAAGCAGCATTTATTATTGAGTTGTGCGGTCATTTTTGCAGTTTCCCCGAGACGGGCGTGTCCAGAAAGCTCCCGACTGTAACCGCACGGTGATCACACACAGGTACCTGATGATGAAGAAGCTAATTACCGTCAAGTGGCAGGCCCCACCAGCTGGATCAGGCTGTGTCCTCATGAGGTAAGCACATCCCTAGTTATGTCCCCTTATTTACTTTTGTGCATTACATCTAACTTGTTTTACTTTGATCGAGTAGGTATATCCTCGAATCATTCTCAAGGAGTTAAAATTTCTCTTTCTTAGACATGTCTTTCTGTATAATTTTCTTCCCTTTTTTCATTACTTGCTAATTTCTGTGGTAGTTTGTTGAGTTATCTGCCCTTTGGTGTTCTAAATTAGTCATCTTGCCCTTTATACCGGGATATGCTGTCTGATAGGTTCATTTGCCCTCCCAAAACAAGTTTGCATTTATATTTTACAATTATGGCTGTAAAGATTTTGATAGAGGAACAGCTTAGCCTTGCACGGTAACATAAAATAATTTCATAATATCACACCCGAAAACAAAATTACACATATATGATGGATTGAAAGTGCTTCATTCTTCTTTAGAGATTAAGCTCCATATGAAATATCTAGATTTGTTGAAGTTGCAATGCACAGCCTAGCAAACTTGCAGAAGGATCTGAGGAGTCTCAATTTGACTTGTCAGAAGGACTACACCTCATAAAGCACAACCATGCACATAACTCTGATTCCCCAGCAAGTATTTAGGCAAGTTTTATTGACAGAGCATCAGAAAAAATGACATCACCTGTCCAATACAGACTTAAAATCGATCAAAGTGAAACAAACCAGATATCCAGATAGCAGACACCTTAACCAATCCAACAGCAACTTGTTTCTCTTTAAAACTTTCAGAAAATGGTTTCCCATTACTGTATGATTGTCAGATTATGTAACAGTTCTTGTTCTCACATTATTTCTGATAGATAAGAGTGTTGTGTTTGTTTTCAGGAGTATAGAATCACTCTGTAGTGAAGGCTCTATAAAGCTCCATGTCTCACTGTTTATCTACTAATGTAGTAAACTACGGGGTAAGGAGAAGGTATATGGACCTATACACAGAACAAGTACTGGGAGAAACACAAAGCACTACACTTCATTTCATCTGTAATAACAGATTTAGTTGAGGGGTATAGTCATCATGGACACTGTTGCTAAGTGAAACAGAAACTGGTTTCCTTCAACCATCAGTGACCTTGGCAACAAAAATACTAAATGTCAGTTTCACATTTTAACCTCCCATTTTAACTTAACCTGATATGGAAAGTTGACGTGGCATTTCCATTGACTGTTCTTGATTTGAGAGACTTGATGTGTTGGACAAAAAACTTCTACATGAAAAATGATTTTTTTTTATGTCCTGGGAATTTAAATCTGGATCTGTGTACAGTTAGGTGTCATGTCCTGTCAGTGTGGAAGCAGAACCACAGAAGTGGGTCTGAACGGAGAATGAAGCCAGGGCATTTTGACTTACTCAAGCTGGTTAAAAGGACCAGACACTCCCTAAAAACTATCTTAGCTCTCGTCAGTCTACAGACGTTTCTTGTAAAATGAAGATTTTTTTCTTTTTAATGATAAATGATTGGGTTTATTAATAGAAAAATATAAATGCAAAGGCAACATAACAAAGAAATACTACACTATTTTGTTAAATGTATAATGTCATTCCAGACAGAATCAGAGATGTGTTCATAGATCTAAACCAAATCTTTGATGGCCAATTTTTCTGCTACAAATAACCAACCCACAATTCACTGACACCAAGCATAGTAGAAGAAATTAAAACTGCTAAAAAAAACTGGCACACACCGACACTCCTACACACAATTACAGGAGCTATCAGGCAAGAAACCTCCAGAATATGAAGTCTGGTACATGTGTCTTTTGGGATTCTGGATTTGTTTTTGTCTCTCTCCAATTACCAAATTAAGCATCCTGGTGAGAATAGTTAGGGGTAATTGTTGTGTGTGTCAGGAGGCTGGCACAGGGAAATAGAGTAGGTGTGTTGTTACATGTCAAACAGGGTAAGTAGGTGGTGTATACAAGTGGAAGGTACTCGCACCTCAAACAGGGTAAGTAGGTGGTGTATACAAGTGGTAGGTACTCGCACCTGATGGAGGTATAGCCAGCTCCTGGTGCTTTGTCTTCCGAAAAACTACTGAAAATTTAAACTTATTTATCATGTTAATAGAAATTAGATTCAGATAACGATTCAATAGGAAGTTAATATCTGATGAATATTTTTTACAAGACATATTTTAAAACTATTTATGAGGTTAAACTCAATCAACAGTGTTCAATAAGATTCATCAGTTTGGAAATAGGTGATATCAAGTTTTACTTTTTACACAAACAATTTACGTATTAAACATGTCGCGGACCAGTCGGTCTTGAAATGTTGCGACACGTTTAATAAGTACATTTGTGTAAAAAGTAAAACTTTGATATCAACCAACAGTGCTCTCCCCGTGGTTTGTCTGTCATGTCAAGTTTCCTGTCCAGAGCCCAGTGCTCCAGGTCCATATCACTCTTGATGAGATGTGACATAGGTCACCATGAACGTCAAACTTGTTGGTATGGAATGTCTCATGACCTTGGTGACCTTGACTACAATTAAGACAAAAAACACACTAATGCCATAAAACTGTGATTATATGTAAAGCATTAGAGGCTATGAGGACAGAGTGCCAGACTACTGAGCCAAACATCTGTCTGTGATTTCCCCGTACACATTCTCCTGTATTATAGCCAACACTTAGTTCCATTCACAATCTTCAACTCTTCAGAGACATGAACATTTTATCACAGCTACTGACATTTATAAATGGCTGCAATTCAAAAACTCCTGTTCAGGTAGCTAATTAATAAAGCAATAGGTTTGGATGCTATCTTGTCTGTAAAAGTTTGCAGTAAATCAGAGTCAGACCAGCATTTAACGCTAGCGAACTTGTTATCACAGGAGTTGACAGAATACCTGAAATTCAAAAAAATTAGATCCTAAAAAAACAGGTACCAAATTAATTGGGATAAAGGGACGGCTGTGTAGGTATTACTTGTACTAAACAGAGTTGGGTCTATTCTGGCAGACATGGAACATCTCCTGTGCTTTGTCTCATTAGGACGGTAGAAATCTGTAAATACCAGGCAGTATTCCCGATCTCCTTAACATGTCACGGATAGATGTTTAATTCAGTAGGTAAAAAGAGATTATGTACGATGTAAAGATCACAGGTGAGAGAGAAAGATAGAAATTTAATTAGTTACAGTTTGACATTAACTTCATTGTTTGTTTGATCTTAGAAATCAACTGCGAGATTCTTACTCTTTTTGAAAAAAGCCAACCTTTATAACATGATTCATACAACGTGTGAAGTAGCAGGTTTAACAACAGAACGATTGGATTTGACATATTAATTTTTATAAGACATATTTGATCTATGAAGTAATACAGACATTGGTTACATTATGCATTAGTCAGATAGTTTCACTCAAGCAATTATAATTTTAAGTGATTTTTTTGGATATTTAAGTATTAAGTTCATAAGCCTACCAAATAGATCAAATTCCCTGGAAAAATGATACTATGTACCTGTGTAAAACACAGGTGTGTCTAACAGAGCGACAAACCTGTCCATCGGATTAGAACTGTCATGCATATTTGTGGTTTGCACCTGGTCAACAGATAATTCACCTGCACTGGATGTACCTGGCTGTAGGCGTTTACCTGTAACTGTGGTCAGCCCTGTGGCCTCTCCTTCACACTGGTCGTGCGGGGAACTTCTTAGGGACAAAGTCTATTGCAAACTTATTCAAAACATGTCAGTGTAGTTCTCTAATAGATGTTTTCTTTAGGCAACAGTAGCAATATCTACGTGACATAAAACAACTAAGGCTATCAGAGAGCTAACCTTAAAGATTAAAGCATCAGAAATCTCAGTTTTAAAATTGAAACATCAGAGATCTCACCGTTAAAGTTGAAACATCAGAGAGTTCACTATAAAATTAAGACATCCAAGATTATTTTGGAAAGTTATTATTGGCTATAATAGATGCGGTGATGTAACACTTTATAAACCTTATACATACTTGATGATTCCAAAGTTAAAGTGGACGTTTTATATCAAAGTTTCTGATTCACATGTACCCCTGCACTAGTTGTTTATTACTGCCTTGTAGTACCTGTATCTACTTAGCTAAATACCTCCTTTATCATTCTCTTCCATTGCTCATTGTCTTGTAATTGTGCTCATTGTCTTGTGTTTATGCTCATTGTCTTGTGATGTCTTTTCCATTATTGTGATTGCGCTCATTGTATTGTGATGGTGCTCATTGTCTTGTGATTGTACTCATTATCTTGTGATTATGCTCATTGTCTTGTGATTGTGTTCATTGTCTTGTGATTGTGCTCATTGTCTTGTGAAAGGGTTCATTGTCTTGTGTTGATGCTCATTGCCTTGTGATTGTACTCATTGTCTTGTGATGTCTTTCCCATTATTGTGATTGTGCTCATTGTCTTGTGATTGCGCTCATTATCTTGTGATTGTGCTCATTGTCTTGTGATTGTGCTCATTATCTTGTTATTGTGCTCATTGTCTTGTGATTGTGCTCATTGTCTTGTGAAAGGGTTCATTGTCTTGTGTTGATGCTCATTGCCTTGTGATTGTACTCATTGTCTTGTGATGTCTTTCCCATTATTGTGATTCTGCTCATTGTCTTGTGATTGCGCTCATTATCTTGTGATTGTGCTCATTGTCTTGTTATTGTACTCAATGTCTTGTGATAGTGCTCATTGTCTTGTGATTGTGCTCATTGTCTTATGATTGTGCTCATTATCTTGTGATTGTGCTCATTGTCTTGTAATTATGCTCATTGTCTTGTGATTGTGCTCATTGTCTTGAGATTGTACTCATTATCTTGTGATTGTGCTCATTGTATTGTGATTATACTTGTTATCTTGTGATTGTACTCATTATCTTGTGATTGTGCTTATTGTCTTGTGATTGTACTCATTGTCTTTTGATTCTGCTCATTGTCTTGTGATTGCGCTCATTATCTTGTGATTGTGCTCCTTGTCTTGTGAAAGTGTTCATTGTCTTTTGTTGATGCTCATTGTC